TCTGAACCGAAACACAAATCAGTGTAGCATGGATAATAGCAAAATGCATCTGACACATAGAGTCAAACACCCGCCGGTGATGGAGAACCTCGATCCAAACTACAGAAAGAAATCTCGAAACACTCGCGTCATCTACATAAAATCCTGAAACACTATGCCAGTGATAGAGAACCACAAACTAAAAAAAAAAAAAAAAAAAAAAAAAAAAAAACGTAAATCAGTGTTGTGTGGACAACATAAAAAAACATCTGACACATGATATCGAAACATCTAACACATAATACCGAAAACCTGCCCTATTGCCTATCTCTAAGTAACGAACAAAAACAACTGTGAACAGTGAACTGCACAAAATCATTGAACACTATGTTGGTCATCGAGAACAAAAAACTTAACTACACAAAAAAAGAAAGAAAACAAACGGAAGTTTGTACACAGTCATCGATCCTCATCTGCAGGCGAAAGCTGCCCAGACTAATGCGAAGCTCGTCCATATGTCCGACCAGTACCACGTGGTCGATCTCTCTGGCGTTGCTCGCCGCTACCAGCAGTGGAAGGCTCAGGAGGGTCGTCGGGGTCGTCGTCCATGATAACTCTCTTGCCTCTGGTTGGTCTGACGCCTGTAGTTGCTAAATCAACACGTCGGAAAGACTTGCAGCGCATAGGCAAATCGTCTGCCCCTTGAATCTCCCCCTCTCTGCGTCGATCAATCGGCACGTGTCGGGCCTGCCTGGCTCGTCGACCAACCTCGAGCTCCTCTAAAATGATGGAGGCCTCTCTCAAACCGTAGGTCAGTGGTCTTTATACTGCCTCTGCATCGGCATCGTGCCGTGCCCTCACGTTCACCACGCATGCCGCCACTATCCCCGCCTCTGTCGCCAAACCCCGACGCCACAACATCTCGACGACCCCCGCTCGTGGAGACCCTTCTCAAACCCGGCTGACGACCCACACTCACCGATGTCACGCGTCTCGTCTCGCTCCATGGCCGATCGGTGCGACCGAACAAAATCGTGTTCATCCCGACCTCGGGGTGTGACTACCGCGCGGTGTGACATCTGCGGTCGGGGGTGACAACGGCCCTCCCCCCCCGTTAGAGGGCGTTGTAGTAGAACCTCCAGACAGTAAGCTCAGGCTGGCTGGCGCCCATGACAAGTCCGGCCAGCCGGTGTCGATCCCATTGTAATCCATCGTGTCGTGTGCCTCCAACTCCTCGGCGGTCATACAACCGAATGCAAAGGTGCCGCGAGGCTGAGGCACATACCTCGACTGTGTCCTCTCCCTAGACGGTGCGAAAGGCGGGATCGCTGGTGCGCACATGCCCCTGCCTACACGTCGCTCTACGATCGAGGCGACACCACCTGCACAACGTATCGGATCTATAGGAAACGGTGCCTCATGTGGCACCACCGGCCCCACGGCCGTGCGGACCACCAAACTCCGCGACGCCTCCCGTCTGTCTCTATCAGGCACACTGATCGCCTCATCTCTATGTCCGACCCCGCTATCGACCTCTGCATGGCGACCGCCCCCAACCAAGGACACCGGATCACCATGAACTCGCTCCTCTATCCCCCCAACTATAGCGTCCCCCGCAACGTCTCCCCTCCCCCCTGTGGTCGGCGATATCCTATCTACCTGTGCCAATGGTTCAACATCATCAACACCCATTGACTGACCCGTTTGTATGTCCTCCAGACTCGGAGGCATGTCCTCGGTCTCAGGCAAAGCATCCTCGGTCCTCCGCCCGTCATGAAGAGGCCGGTCGGGCACCAGACGCGGGTCGTCTGGTGCAGCGACCCCGGTCTCGTGCAACCCATGCGCCTCCCCCGACATCCCAGCTGCCTCGCCTCCACCCGTCTCGCCTCCACCCTGCGCCTCCCCCGGCATCCCAGTTGCCTCGCCTCCACCCATCTCACCTCCAGCTGCCTCGTGTCAAGCTGCCTTCCCCTGCATCCCTGCTGAAGTGGCCTCGCCTGCAGCTGCCTCCCCCCGCGTCCCTGCCAAAGTTGCCTCGACTACAGCTGCCTCCCCCTGCGTCCCATCGCGAACCTTTGTCATCGGATCAATGTGGGCAGCCGCCTGTGCGTCAGGGGGCATCTCCATAAGCGTCCCCAACTGTCTTTGTCGCTCCTCTGCTGCTAGACGGGCCAACTCCTACGTCCTGGGGTCAGCTCGTGCCAGGAGGCAAGCTCGACGACTATCAAGCTTGTCCAACCTCTTTGCTGATGTCTCTCCAGGGGGTGTGGCCTCCTCATCAACCTGAACCTCCGTTGGAGACGCTCCTAACTCTGCATGCATGGCAGGGGTGAAAGTCTCCGGCTGCATGGCGCTGATATGGTCTAATATGGCTTGCATGCCCACACTCAAGTCCCCCTGAGAATTGCTCTCTCTGGGTGGTAGTCCCGAATCACCAAACCGACTAAAACCTCCGCCACCGCCCATCGATATCTTGTCATCACGACCCCCCCCAAGACCGTCTGTCTGAACCGCCTCCTCAATTGGACTACGTTCATCTCCTACCAATGGAGCAGTATGTCCATCAGTCGGCCTCTCCACATCTCTCTCGACCCTCTCACCCAGTGAAGGACCGCCCACCAATCTCTCCTCTAATCGTTGTCTCGGGCCCTTCACCAATCTATGCAATTGCCCTCTGGGAGGCGAACCTCGATAAAGCTCCCCCGACGGAGGAGGAACAACGCCTGATGAAGCCATCCCACGACGAATACGTCCGGGTTGCTACCCAGGAACGCCGTCACCGCAAGCTGACTCTGCCCCCCTCGAGCGCACAGATCCGTGCACCGCCTGCGTATCGACAGACTGGGGCCCCGGAGACGAAGGCTGCTCTCACTCAAAAGGGCTCCCGTCACCTCCACCAAAAAGGTCGCCCCTGCCGGTTTACGGACGTCCTCCGGGTCGCTCCACTCATCAGCCTTCGGCGAGGCCGGATGGCCAGCAGGTCCCGCCCACTCGTCCTCCCCCTAAGGGCCCTCGTCATCACTGTTGTCATCTCTGGGGTAGGGGCGCAACGTGGCAGCCCGAGTCCCAAAAACCTCTCCAACCTCTCCAGGAGGAGCTCTCGACCCACACGGGTCTCGCGTCCACGAACGTCTCTGCCTCTCTCGGTCCTCCTACGACCTGCTGGCGTCCGTCCCCTACCACGACGGTTGAGTCCCGATGCCTCCCTCCACATCCAACATCGACTCATTGACCGTCCACGGCGATGCAAAGCCGCGGTCAGCCCACTGGTGAGAGAGAAGGCGGGTGTTGGCCGAGATCTCGACCAACTTCGCAACCTTCTCGAACTCGAGCTTGTTGTGCTTCTTCGTGTGCACAGCCTCGTGGACGGCCCAGTTCCTCTCTGTAGTAGAGGAACATGTCCACATGTACATGACATGAAGAGCGATGGCCTGCAGCTGCGGGGCACACTGTCCCCACTTCGACCACCAACAACCGGCCTCGTACGCCTCCACCTCGCCGGTGCTCCTCTATGCCTCCTTGTCTTCATCCCTCCGTCCCACGCAATCCCCCATCTCCGTGTGTGGAAGTCGTGTAGCTGGGCACATGCATCCTCGTAATCGGGGCTCGCGACACTAAACCGAGTCTGTGTGAGGATGTATGTCTTTGCCTCCCGCACAAGTCTCGCATCGTAGTCGCTGACGACGCCCTCGTAGTACCTTAAGTCTCGGTGACTGGGACAGAGAAGGTGAGCAGCGGCGTGCGCCGGCTCCAACATGTGAGCGCACTGAGCCTGCACTTTTTGCTTTATGAAGTGCGCAATGCCCGATGGAAGTGTGCGGACCTCGCGTTGTCGGCGCGAATACCCTGACAAGGGTATTCGCCCTGGTTTTTGCAAGTAACAGAAGGGCCGCTAGTTCAGGCCTGTGTGTTCAAATGGCTACCTGCGTACGGGCGAGGGCCGTCTAAGTAGGTAGGGTGAGTGGGCGCGCAGTTTCAAGGTTGCGCGTGTGATTCTACCCCTTTTGATCGGTTGCCGGGCTAGATGTCCGCCTTGACTTCACCTTTCGGATTAGGCTAAGGGGTGGTAGGTCGCCACCCGCTCGCCGTGCTTGACCGGCGGCGGTTGTGGTACGGTCGTGGTATAATCGAGGCGGCCGGCACGGATACCTAGCGGCCGCCCGCCTGTTTATAGGAGGGAGTGAGTCTCCACGCATGTTCCGGCCTTAGGCGCTTTCAGCGCCGGCTGATCCCAGGCTTGGGCTTAGCCCTATAGGTTACAGYGGCGGGTTACTGCAACGGAGGTCTAGGGATCAAGGCCGGCGAGCGGCGGCGCGCAGTAGCGGAGCAGAGAGGAGAAAGCCAAGGGGTTGAGGGCCCTCCAGGGCTATCCCCCTCAGGCTTTTGCTAGGAGACGCAGTGGCGGGCCCGACCCACGGGGCTAGCGGAGGCAACCAGTAGTCCGCCGTCAAAGAACCTAGGTTTCATATATTTTATTTTTTCCATTTATTCCTATTTTTATCAGTTTTCTATCCTTTTTGTGTTTTAGGTACAAGTCCCGATTATCCTCGGGACAAAGCACAGCGCCATCGGGGTGCAGGCCGCGGTCGGACTGAAATGTCGGAACTGGCCGAACGAAACCAAGCACCTGAATTGTCGAGGGCTGCTCAGGCGTCGAAGGGGCCGTCGGGCGCTGTTGCGGTGAGCTTCGGGCCGCCTGTTACGGTACTAGGAGGATTAGCCCGGCCCCTGCGCCAGGGCCACGAGTATAAGTCTTCGAGAGGAGGGGGGGGGCCAGACGGCCGGTTACTTTTGAGATACCCAAGTGCGACCGGACTTCACAGCGCCAGACGGGTGGGAGGTAGAGCGCAGTGGGGCTACCATAGCAGAGCTCGGGAAGACCCCGCTAGGCGCTATGACTATGCGCGACGGCAAGCGACCGGGGCCGCGTTGACGACAATGGCGTGGATGGACAGCTGACCGCTTGCGAGCAAGGAGGAGGTTGGCAGCAGGCAGTTGGAAGACGAACTGAACCCGGGCGGGGTTCGGCGCAAAGTGCATGCGAAGAACGGACGGAGCAAGGCGAGACAACGCCCGGCAGAGGGAAGAGTTCCCGCTCGTTCCTTAGTGGAAACGAGAGAGTAGAGATGCGTGATATGGGTTTTTGCCATGGGCGAATGCAGTCATGGGGTTAGTTCTGGCACTGGGTCAGTAGAGAAAGAAGTTAGCGTGAAACGGGCTGCGCGGTGAGTCGGGAAACAAGGAAGCGAGGAGGGAGAGGGACTATGTCGCGCCCATTTGTTGACGAAGTCGGACGCATGAAGGCGTTTCTGATGTTCCGGCCGATGGCGACTGCGATGGCGGCACTCGTTTAGACTTTAGGGTGGCGGGTAAGGCGTTACGTGGTTCAGGGGGCTGCGTGAAAGGACAGGAAGAGGGAGGTGAGTGCGTACCTGGCCGCCCTTCAAGTGTAGATTCGTGCGAATGGCTCATTCAACCGACGGGGGTAGTAGGAACTAATTGCAGGGGAGAGGGGTTGTCTCGTGGTTGGGACTTACCTGCTGGCAGTGTGATGCGCGCGCCATCACTGCGGGTAGCCTCCCTCCAAAGTTCCCGTGTGCACGACCTACTGGTCGGGTACGTTCCCATGTTCTAGGAGGGGATTCACTCCTACCCTGCCTTGGTCGGGCGCTTCCCAACGTTTTTTGGCTACGCAAGACGTCGAAGTCTTGGAGTGTGTGTGTGTGTGTGTGTGTGTGTGTGTGTGTGTGTGTGTGTGTGTGTGTGTGTGTGTGAGAGAGAGAGAGAGAGAGAGAGAGAGAGAGGTCACTCACCTGCGGGGTAGTGTTTCGCCATTTCTAAGGGGGTGCGTCCGGTCACGTTCGAGCAGTGGACACAATCGGTTCCACGAAGGAATAAGCAGAGAGCGGGAAGTTGGCTGGGGGACTGGCTTTCCTGTCAGATCGAAGCGGCGAGTGCCCGGAGTTGAACCACTGTGTCACGGCCAGCATTGTCACACGTCTCGAATTGCTTGGGTGGATGCCACAGCCAGTTACGGTCTGCTGCAGCAGGTTGCGGTCTGCTGCCGGGCTGCACTGCTTCTGTTTACAGTTGCGTTGAGCCTGTTAAAGTGTTGTCTCCACTAGCTGCTGCTCGTACTGTTTGCTCCGCGCAGGTTGCAACCGCGGCTGGCTGCGGGCCACCACTGAGAAAGGGCTCTCGGAGGGGAAGGTTGATCCCGTACTAGTTGCGGCGGGGCTTCAACCTACGGACTGTTACTGGGATGGTTGGCCGCTGTGATCAGCGGCTGCTGCTGTTGACTGTGCGTGGAAGGCCGGGGTTACTGTGGACTGGGCGCCCCTGCTACATCTCTAGGCCAAGGGCGGACTGTGGCCAGCAACCGGCGGCTGCATATTGGTGCTGCCTACTGTTGGCCACCGCATGCTGCCCCTGGTCGCGACATGCTGCCAGGTGCAGCGCCCGCAGCCCGTCACGAGTGGCTGAGACACCTGCTTGACTGCACACGGCTCCGACCAGCTGCTGGGGGTTGCGAACCGCAGTTGACCACTACCGACTGCTGCCAAGTGTTGCGGCTGCGCGTGTGGGTTGTGCATGAGCCATAGGCGACTGCGTACTACTGCATACCATTGCCGGCGGTGATCGGCTGTTGCAACTTACTGCGCGGCAGCGACTGCTGACCCTGCGGCGGGCTGCTGCAGTGCTTAGAGTATGGTTACTTAAAGGTGAGCGGTCGTAACTGGGCTGAACGGGAGGCTGCTGCCGTGGGGCCTAGAGAGTGGGCCATGCGGGGAGGAGGGTTTATCGCTGCGAATCGGGAGTCTGTCAGGCAAATCTGATTCTGCTGTTTGACCTTGGGAGCGGACCAAGTTGTTACGTCGGCCGCCATTGCGGGGCCCTCAGACGCAGAAGACATCAAAGCCCTCTCATGCGAGTCTGAGTGCACCCCCCTTGTATCTGAGAGACTTAATGCTTCTTCTTTTGCCCTTCTCACTCTCAGTCTAGTCCATTGGTTTGGAGAGGAA